CTTGGTAGCCCAGGCTGGCCTCGAACTCACAGAGATCCGACTGTCTCTACCTCCCGAGTGCTGGGATTAAAGGCGTGTGCCACAACCGCCCAGCTAGGTTCAGTATATCTTACTTAAAAAAAAAAAAAAAAGCAGGCCAGGCGGTGATGGCGCACACCTTTAATCCCAGCACTCGGGAGGCAGAGTCAGGTGGATCTCTGTGAGTTCGAGGCCAGCCTGGTCTACAGAGTGAGATCTAGGACAGGCACCAAAACTACAAAGAGAAACCCTGTCTCGAAAACAAAACAAAACAAAACAAAACAAAACAAAACAAAACAAAACAAAACCAACCAAGAAAACAAAATAAAATGGAGATTCACAGAGGAAGATGTGATGATATATTGTGTACCCTAATAAACTTGCCTGAGGATCAGAGGACAGAGCCAGCCACTAGATTAGACACAGAGGTCAGGCAGTGGTGGCACACAATGTTAATCCCAGCACTTGAGATCTCCTGCCTTTGCTTGGGAAGCACACACGCCTTTAATCCAGGAAGTAATACGGCAGGGCAGAGAAAGGTATATAAGGCGTGAGGAAATAGGAACTCACTCTCTTTAGACTGAGGATTTGTAGAGGTCAGAACTAGTGGCTGGCTGTTCTGTTTTTCCAATCCCCAGGCAAGTTTATTAGGATACACAATATATATCGCCATGGGAAGATATCCAACGTCAACCTCTGGCCTCCACCTGCACACACATGGGTACATATCACCCCCCCACAGTTACACATACATGTACATATAACACACAGACACATACATAGGAAAGACTTGAACAACAGTGGATAAAATAAGGTGTGTATGTAATGGGTGTGAGAAATGAGTACTGTTTGAAGACCACATTTGGGCCAAATGTAGTAATTTTAAAAAATTCATGTGACAGCATCTTGTGGTTTATTTTGCCCACCATTCGTTTTCGGGTAGGTGTTTTTGGATCACCAAAGCAGCCAATGTGAGAATGCAACTACCAATCCTGTAAAAGAATATTGTGGGAAAGGACTCAAGGGCTAATTGCAAATCCCAGAATTATAAATGAAAATAACATTATTCCCTGAAACCAATAGGAAGTCAATTTGATTTAAAAAAAATCATCCGATGTATGTATAACCATCATCCTTTGCAAATCAAATATGTAGAATTTAGTGATTTGGCAGACTTTCCTTGCCCTCCTGACATCTTGGGAAGATGTAAATGCCATATATTATTTTTTATAGCAGGCCTGCAATTAAATAATGTAATTTCAAAGAACTTAATATTGTTTATTTTATTGGACAGTGGAGACAGGTCTCTCCTCCCGGAGTCATTTAATGTAAAAAAATCAATGTCAATGTCTGCATCTCCAAGTATTAAGAGCATGGTTTTTAGCCCGGGTCACCATTTGCCTGTGGGAAACCATTTTAATATCACTTTTAGGTAAAGGACAGACTTAGGAACAGATCGATCTTCAAAAACAATTTATGGAAACAAATTGCACGTTATAAATCATTCACAGGCAGGGCACTGTGAAAACAGGGACCTGAGTTAACCTCTCTCTCATTCCAGTATAAGCCACAGAGGGCATCCTTTTCATTTACAGGGAAATCTGGAAAAGCGTTTTCAGTCCCCTGTACCTTTCTCAGGCCCTAAGTCAGGTGTGATGGTGCATGCCGGTACCCTAGCCTGCACTCGGGAAACAGAGGCAGGAGGATCACCACAAGTTTGAGGCCAGCCTTGCCTAACAAGGTCCAGGCTATCCCAGGCCACATCTAGAGCCCCTGTTTCAAAATGTAACAAGTATTTCTCAGGTACCAAAACCAGAGATTTCCTCAGCTACTTTGTACGTGTTGACTTCTTTCGTCTCCTTTGTAAAAGATTATCCAGCAAAGGATTGAAAGCTTATCAGAAGTGAGAGACTTAAGTCTTCTGACCTAGTATGTGTCTCTGCATATTAACTTTCTCCTGGCCCGTGTTACACAGCCATCCCTGCTAGAGGGGGAAGTTGAGGTTTGAGACAAAGCAAACCGGAATAACAAAGGAGAGTAAATGAATCATTTTTTAAAACCTGCCTGGCAGATAAAAGCAGCGATACACTAGCATTGTGTCAGAGATCCGGTGATGTGGACTTGTCAAACACCAACCTAACCCGGAGGTGGGGATGACAGATGAATGACCTGACCCAAATCAAAGAATCTCACTGCAAAGGTGACCCCAGCACGTTCGTTCCTGCGCTCGCTTTCTGAACGTGAATCAGAAGGCATCCTGCTGCCTGTCACCATCCGAACTGAACCCTCTCTGAAACTACTTTGTCCCAGGGTTTTAGCTCTCCGTGATTTCCAGGACTCTCTCTACCCATCCTTCTTTCATGACAGGATGAAAAAGCCAGTGGCTGGTTTTTTCTTGATCTCTGCTCTATTTAAGCAAGCAGACTGAACACCTCTTTCAGCCTGGAATTTTTTTGGGGGGCACTTTTTATTTATATGGATGAATTGCATCTCTCTACTCACTTTCTCTAATACCTGTTTCCAGTTGGTATGATATTCATTAGCGTGATAGGTATCAACCCACTGGCAGCATAGGGTGCTAGCTGACCCCAGTTCAAGGGCTTGGACTTGGCTTGCACTGGGATGGCAAACCC